TTTTGTAAGCCTAGCTTGCGCTTACGTAACTAGTAGGTGCTAAGTTAGTAGTAAAATGTTCCCTAGAGTAATTGACTTTGAAATATTTGTTGTTTGGGAGCGCTCTTTAGAAGCTGTGCTGCTGACGGGAACTGAATACGAGGATTCCTAAAACGGATTAATAGCTACGTTTTCGTAGAAAAGTAAAGCTTAGTTGGGATATCAAGTTCTTACATTAGAATACAAATAGTACTTACACACGAAGATCCATAGCCTACATTCATAAGAATATTTTTAGTAGATTTAAGTGCAGGGGAGATGTACCGCCTAACGCATTGAGGAGCACTGAAATGTTGTCTTCTGATGAAGCAGTAAGGATTGTGCTTGGAAACCAGTCGCTTTGACAAAAATTGTAGTTTTGGTTTTGTTACAATTTTCTTACTTATATTTTCGTTTAGCTGTGTCGTTGCGTTAAGCTGAGAAGTATCGTTGAAGGTAGGTATAAAAATTATTATTTTATATATTTTTTTAAATCGTATACAATTTTTGTTCAGCCGACTGGTTCAGTTTTGCTATTGGATTTGGATCGTAGTAGAGACATTTGGATTTTAGTAGTTATCTGTTTTTTTATGTAATGTGTTTAATGTTATTTAACTGAACTATTATTATTACTGTTATTTTATTATGAATGTGTAAATATGACTTTTAAAACTGATCTTGATCCCGATCCAAACTTTGTGTAAAAAACATGATCTACTGTGTTTAGGGTTACGCTAATTTCTCAATTTGGCATTCACAGACAACTATTCAATCGAAAACATGAGTATTAGAAACGGATATTTAGTTATTTTTATTATGAAAAAAAAAACAATAAATATTCCGTTAATTTCAAATTTTGACAGGCCGCCATATTGAAAAACGTGAACTAGTGTAACCCTTTAGTGATGTGTGATACTTATACACTATAAAAGCGGATACTTACGATACTCATGCCATTTGTTCCCTACACCAACTGTTTTTGGTCAAAATGCACACACGGGGTCACACAGGGTCTACCACCGGACATTTGTGCTAAAGAATCTGTGATTGTTGGAAGCTCACACCATCAACTATGGTGTTCTTTTTTATGTAGACAGGGAACTAAATAATGATAACATTGGAGTAAGTTTCATGGTCAAAATTAAACCTAATGTCCACTTGATTTCAAAACATCTGAATTTGTTGTTTTTGTTTCTTGTGGATATTTATATGCAATAATCTCTGTTTTTTAAATGATTTCGTTCTGAGTACATGTCAAAGTAGTGGTTGCCTCTCTAGCATATATTGTACCTCTAGAAACATTATCATCATAGTTCAAGGTGTAAGCTTTACTGTGTAAGTGAATTTAAAAGTCATTTAAAATTGTGCCTCTTGTAATAAATGTGTGGAAGACCTAAGATTTAAGGAATATTCTATTCTTAATTTTAATAACTGTAGGTACTAAAGTAATTCGGATACCTCTAGATAGAATTAACTATTGCGTGAATCTCTTTGGTATATTTTTTAAAGATTGCATTTAAAATGTACTTAATATTGTGTGGAATTTTAAGTGTGGGTACTATCGTCAAAATATTTACAACCACTGATAAATTGGAGAATGTTATCCTAAAATGTGTGGCACTGTCGGAATGTACGTCATAAGCAGATAAGATTCATTAGCACAAACATGCAACTCCGCAGATCAAACTAAAAAAGCGCTACTTTGGAAAAAAAACGAAAATAAAAATAAAACACACATCAAAACTGCAATGAACTGGTATTATTATAAAAAGCAATTACAACAAAAATAATTCAAAACAAAACGATGTACATTAATTTAAAGAACAATTGTTTATACAAATAATTAAAAAAATATAATAATTATAACAACAAACATCGACAAAATATATTTAAAGACAAAACAGGTTTCAATTCAGTCCTCGAGCTTTAGAAATGCAATTTTTAAGAATGGAAATGTTTCTCGTACAGAAAAATCATTTCTTTTTTCACTAACATTATTATGCAAAAACACAAAATCAATAATTAATTGAATGGGATTAAGTTTGTAATAATAATTATAATTGAAACTTAAATTACCATTTTCAGGTTAAAAAATAAAAGAGTAACTATCGGTCGACAAAAAAACTAAAAAATAAAATCAGGGGTTACACTGTTTTACTAGGCGTAATAGTGAAGTTGTCATAATTTGCAAATCTTATTCGTTAAAATTTCGATACACTATACTATACTTAATATAAATATAATACGATGAAATGATCTCAATTAAGTAGAAGCGTATATTGTTACCAAATACGGATTTCTTTTATGATAATTACAACGAAAATCTAGACAGAGCCAGTCTAATGTTTGCAAATTTCCTGGAATAATTTTCATAAAGAAATCCGGACATTTAAGTCTAAAATAACGGTCCTCCGAATCTCCAGCGTAACCTCAGTTTATTATGACGAATATTTTAAAGATCATTATTGGATAAACTTATCAATGCCAACATAAACTGAGGTTCTGCAGATTAACGGTCAAATGTCGACTTACAATCAATGTTCAGTTACCAGTGGATTAGATAAAATACATCGATCCCTTCGTCTTAGGATATAGGAACAGAGCAGTCTATATAATAAAATCATTGGTGATTAATCACTGAAATTTGGACACCAAGACGTGGGACGTGCTTTCATCTAATCCAGTGTTCATTAACTATTTGATCGAAGATGCGTCTAGGCAGCGATGGCGCGTGCACGGTGGTAGGCAAATTACAGAAAACAATGCGAAAAGAAATCAGTTGTTCTCAAAATGTTCAACTTTTAGTGCAAGTATGGTAATCCTACGTTCCAAGTTTGCAGATCCCGCACTAGTATTGTTGCCGTTGAACACTCAGTCCTATGTTTCCATCAAACATTTGGCAGTTCGCTTGGTTCATTACTATTTTATATTGAGCAGTCATTCATTAAAATTATATCGTATATAGATTGCCAAAACTTACAACAATAAGGTAGTTTATCGGTGGTAAATAAATATTATTATAACTTTAAATTACATATTAAATAAAAACTTGTAAATTTCCCAGTATAACAATTACGATAACTTGCACTACAAGTATAAAGATGAAACAATCATAAGTAATTCGATCAGATACCCTTACGATTAGATTTATATGAAAGTATGGTACATATTTACAAACAATACTAAATATCACTTATTAAATCACAACATGATCTTATGGCACACGATATACAGGTCGCCACGGTGCGAACGCCACGCTAGCCGACGCATCTTCAAACATATTTAATTTATTTAAGAAATATCACCAAAATGGAAACGCGGTACCTAATACTAGCAGATCTTCAGGATACCGACCCATAGTCGGATCAGATCTCCCTATTGTCATAGATTCAGCGAGAAAAAAAAATACTAAAAACCATTATTTACTAAAAACCAAAAAAAGTTCTAATGAAAAAAAAATCAAACTAAAATAATTCTGCTAACACACTCAAACACACGGTAATGAAGTAAAAAATAATAATAATAGCGCAATATTCATAAAATACAAAAGTAAAGTATACGTTACACATGCACCGTAATACTAAACACTACAAAAATAAAGTTGTTTCCATATAAAAAAAATATATCTTACCCGAATAACAAATTGTATAATTATTTTGTATACCGAGCTGTTTATAATACTCCCAGAAGACGCTTGCGCGCCATTTTACATCTGCTAAAAATCTCAAAAAATTAAAAAAAAGATGCTAGCGAAACGACCATTTCCTAAGTGCTCTACTAGTTACTACCGTGTCCAATGCTTATAACATACAATCAATGCAAAAAACGAACAGTATCAAACAAATGTCAGTAAAACAACATCAGAAGACTTAAGTCCGTGGGCTCTCAGCGACTAGGCGGTATCGATAACATGCTGAAGTACTGCCCTCCGATATAGAAAAAAAGATTACTATCTAAAAATGCTTTATAAATTCTCAACTGAGGGCATCACTAGTAAGAATGCATAAAATTTGAAACGAATTGAGGTCTATAAAACATTCTTATCGCCACTTTGTGATGTTACTATTACGTATAAAAGAAATAGTATAATATATTCAATAGAGGTTCATAGTCATTGCTTTACTTAATGTCCAAATGCCGCGCCGCAGTCAACTTTGTCATTGATAAAACCCCTAACATCATTATTTCCCTAAAATTTTGTAACTACGTTTAGTGGGGTAGTAACCAAAGATTGTCCATTTCAGCTCAATCAATTTAACACTTACCTAATTAATAATGTAACAACTCCTTACTTAGTTTTTTTTAATAATCCATAGTTTCCATCGACACAGAATAAGTGCTAATTAAAAACAGGAAGTGCTATTGTGCCGTAGAAATAATCTTAAAACTAACAACAATACCGCTCGATGCTCTCTTATTTAAGATAAAATCACACGCTTAACGCCTAACAATTTGTTAAGTAATAATAGTTAAAATATTGGTCCAACAAATGGGCTAAATAATACAAATGCCCTTAATATTCATCCCTAATTTAACGATGTGGGATATGAAAAAATATTATTCAATAGATCAAAAAATGATAAGGATTCGAGAACACCGTTCGCGCGAAATTTCGAATCGTTCCAACGGAATTTAATCTCTAACCATCAATCAATAGGTACTCGAATAACAATGTCAATACTATAACTAATCTCATTACAGTTTCGTTTAGAAATAATTCATAAAGAGATCTCATGCCGAATAATGTAGAGGATACCCATCGTAAGCCGGTATGATCACATCGAGACAGCCACAGGGTTGCACCACTTGCACACTTTACCAAGTTCCGTTCACTTATCATCACTTGAACCACAAAAATTGACACGCGTCGCCAAAACAGTAAGTCCATACTTCGATTAATAATATTTACGTCGTCGCAGGGTGTCGATTTTTGGTCTATAGTTCATCGGTCATTCGGATCTCCTGTGATTGGGGCGTGCTACTCACATGCCTATTGGCGGCACTTGCACGTAGCGATAGATGTAGAGCCTGTAGTCCTTACTTGCAAGAACCACTGAACCGTCGTCCATTAGCGCCACGTCGAAGCATTGAGCGTGTTTCACTTTGCTTTCTAGTGCAGAGACGAGTTGTCCGTCTTGCGTGAATATAGTCAGATTGAAGTTGTTATGATTATCAGCAATCAATATTTCACCGGCTGCGTTGATGCCGACACCAATTGGGTAGTTAGTGACACCTTCACCACCGATCTGACGCAAGTAAATACCTTCATAGTTGAACACCTTGACGCAGTGCGCGCGATTGTCGCTGATAAAGATCTCCTGTTTATCGTTTACTACGACTCCGTTAGGGAACTCCAGGTGTTTCGAGCAACCGAACTTTTGCAGCACGTTACCGATCTGGTCAAAGATTATGACACGCATTACTTTACATTCGACAACTACAATACGGCCCTTGTTGTCAACAGTAACTCCACGAGGATGTTGAAGGATGTTAGCGCCGAATTTGCGTACGAATTGGCCGTATTGGTTGTAAATTTGAATCTGGTGTGTTGGTGATCTTTCCGTTACAATAATGTCACCAGAAGTGCGCACTACGGCTACTCTATTTGGGTACAGTAGTTGACCATCACGTTTGCCACATTCACCAAATTGGAACTTGAAGCGGCCTTCTTTGTCAAATATCTGGATGCGGTGGTTATTAGTGTCTGCGACTATAATATCGTTTTGAGCATTTACAGCTACTCCACTTGGCTCCGTAAATTGACCTTCCATTACTCCAAATTCTCCAAATTTGCAATGATAGATCATCTTTTGTCGCTTAATTTGAGATTTCGGCGGGAAAATGGCAGTTGAAATTAGTTTGCTTGTCAAGTCTAAAATAGGATCGTTGTGTGTGGCTGATGTAAGTGAGTAGGGGTCAGTCGTCGTCGGCGGAAAAAGTGAATCACAACCTCCGTTCGACCATTTCTCATAAGGATTGATGCCATTCAAGTTAATGTCAATAGCAGACGAAAAAGGACCCAGACTGTTCACGCTATTGAATCGTTTCGAGATAATGTTGGATTCGAAGGGTGATGTGGACTGGCTAGTGGGTCCTAGGAGTCCATTGGTATAAGGACGGTCAAGTACACCGTTCAAACCCGTTGGTAGGTGGATTCCACCGTTCAGACTACCAGAACTTCCGTTTACGCTGCTGCTACTAGATGATGATCCACCATTTAAGAGATTGCCGTTAGTAGGGCGGGCAATAGGTGGCTGTTTAGTGGGGCCAACGTTCGCCTCTGAGCTAGAGCGCACGTATCCAAACGTGTTTCTTACGCCAACTTGGATGGCTTGGTAGTTAGAAACAAATTCAAGCTCGCAAGCTGTCTGTACTGACTGTTCTGGGTTCGAACTCAATAGAGTTTGCAATTTTGCATCTAATAATTTCCTGAACATTAGTATTTCCGCAATATTGGCGCATTTAGTCAATCGATCAACGAAGTCGCACGTTTGGTAAATCTTATCAACAGTCTCTTGAGCTTTTTGGCCGACTACTGTGAGGGCAATTTGTTTTGTGGAAAATACACTTTCAAGCTCTTTGAGCAATTCTTGCTTACGTTCCTCGAGCATAGAACGGTAGAATTGGAACGTATCGTTTATTTCATTTTGAGCTTTGTGGTACTGGACTTGTAATTTGCCTGCAGCGTGTTCAACCGTTTTAATTACGTGTCTTATTTCAGTAGCTCGTGTCTTGGCTTCATTTACCGCGGTTTGCATCAACTCCAATTGCTTTGGGCCAGCATCGGATAAATGCTCACAGTCGTGCAGAGCAGCTGGGTGTTCAATTATCGTGCACTCTTTACATACCGGCACTGAGCAGGTGCGGCAGAAGTACTTAAGAATATCATTTTTATGTCTAGGGCAAAATGCGGTCTTTTCACCGCTTGCGATGATTGTAGATCCTAGTAAGCCCTTGTCATCTTTCAGGTCCGTGAATGATAGAACACGGTGGCCCTCAAAGCAATGCATGAATTGGTGCGCCATAACGCAGTTCGGGCACAGGAAATTTACGCAGTCGACGCAACGTGCTACGGCGTCGGATTCCTTGGATTTGCAGCCGGTGCAGCGGGCTGAAGGAGAGCTGGTTTGACGGGCAGTTGGCAGGAGGTCGGCGTCCTGCTCGACGGCGGCGGCTATCACGAGGTTTGTGAGAAGCCCGGGAACGCCGGCAGTTGGTAGTTGGCTGTCTACACGGCAAGTGACGCAGGTCACTTTGTCCGGGTGCGTTTGTTCCCTCTCCAGGCAAGCCCGGCAGAAGGTGTGGAAGCAATTGAGTACTTTGGGGTCGACAAATGTTTCTCGGCAGATTGCGCAAGTGGTGTCGAGACCGTCGAATTCACGGAGGTCGCATACGGCGGAGTCACTCGCTGGGGGCGAGGATCCACTGAGAGTCAGGGGCGATAAGGAGCCACGCTCCAGCGAACCTATTGAGTTGGCACCGGGCAGCGACTCAAGGGACGGGGTGCGTGAGGCCATCTTCAGGAAACCGGCATCCCTGAAACAAGACAACAAACATACATTAAAACTAAGTTTAAACAATTTAATTAACCTATAAACCATGACCTATACAGACAGCGATATTTGTTACTAAATCTAACAATATTTTCAAATATTCCTTTATGACACTCGATTTTGAAATATGCTTACTCATAAGAATAGTATTACGTAAATGCATTTGCCGTCGGAACCGTGACCTTAGATACAGGGGAAGCCGATGCTATAAACTTGATAAATAGAGAAGCTTTAAGCAATATTTTCTGGGAATTTACGAGCCACCGAGCGATACACCGGAAGGAGCTGTGTGGAGTAGCGAAAACATCAATAACGGTGTCGAAAATGCAGGGAGCCAGGAATGTTTACATCTGATGCACTTCCCAAGGGCGGGGTAACCATGGCAACGTGTAGGGTGACGTCGGTAAGGGGATCCGTTCTCGAATTAGAGGGTGGAATATTTCGACTCCCTCTTTTACCTTAGGGGAGATGTTTGAGGTGAATGGCCCTGGCAGCGAGTTGGTTTAACGGCTCTAATGTCTATTTTTAGAGTTGCAATTCAGTTGCAAATTTAAACTGTAATGACGCTAATCCAGCTTGCGGTGCGAAACTTTATGAAATATGACCTTTGTAGTGAATTTAATTAAACTTCCTCAGCGATAAAAAATACTTTATTAAGTACTATCTTATTTGAACACCAGTTACAATTTTATTTGGACGTTTTTTCCAATTTTTCAACCATACCAGTACTCCACATCGAACTTATTGAACAAGAACACTACTTATTAACTCAAGAGTAAAAATTAGTAAGATAAGTTCATCACATACAAGTATACATGTGATACCAACACGTTTGTGATGGTGCATCAAAGATTCAGCCCACGTAGACCGTTTACAATACATCACGGGAAGCCGACCTGTCTATTTCCTGATATGTCGTACCATGCTTGGTCCACTATAATAGGGATACCAGCTCGGATGAGGATTTTGGGACAGACGTGTAACTTGGATGTAGATTGGAACTAAGTTTGTATAAAAAACTCTTATGGATTCTAGTGTTCTAGAACATTGCTATATTGGACTGGTCGTTTTGTTCTAAATTAATATCAACTGTTTGAGATTTTACTTCATAGATGTAAATTATGTTGAGTACAAATCAATCCAAGCCCAACAAAAAGTTATACACATTCATTTTATAGTCTTCCTTAAAGAATTAAAAGCAGAAGATACTAGGTAAACGAAGTCACTTGAACATGTGCCTAATGATGTAACATTTCCGTCGATTCGATGTCCATCTCCTGAATATCTGGACAATCTAACGTACAGGTATTTGTGTGATAGATGGAAACGGCCGCAATACATTACGAGAGCAGTTTAGTCCCGAGTGACGGGCGGCTCGATTGCATTGCCGATGCTGCATACAAAATGGCCGAACGGGGACCAATGAAGACAGCGGCGAATTTGTACCGGTTTTGGCGACAAATTAGGTACGTTCCGTACTTTGGTATGTAATGTGATTGGTTGGAATTGAGTTTGGAAGCTTACCGGCATTTAGAGACATCGATTAGTAGGATTGCACTGCAGTACCTATTTCCATAGTAACAATGTTCTGATTTTTTTTCTCCCTCGTGTCTTTCATTTTGCCAATCTACTTTTATTTCAGCTTCTTATGCTTTATTGGGCCCAAAACAGTTTCAATTTCGAAACTAGGTTCACTTTTATGACTCCAATAAGTCTTTCTAGAAGAATAATAGTACCAATTTCTTCGGCCGTATTGACCAATAAAGGGAAATTACGTAGAAAGCATTTAGATTACTTCCATTAAATTGAGACCTTGTTCTAAATAAACTGCAATATTTAGGGCAGTAATTCATATTTTATTGTTCGGAAGGAGAATTAGTGTAAAACATAAAATTGTAGAAGTCATGGCAAATATTGAATTGTCATTCATTCCCTGATATTATTTATTAATACTAAAGAACTATTTAAAGGTTCTTTTGAAGGTTATCAGAGCAAGTTTGTTACTTGGTCTATGATCTAAGTGAGCATTAAAATAAAGTTAAATTTTCATAAGATCACCACATCACTGGTCTGGCAAAAGCTTACGACAAAACCATATAGGTACGAAAATCTTCAGAAACTATTCTCATAAAGGTAAAGAACCCCTTTTCCTTGTGAATCTGAGGAGGTCGCAGTTATTGTTCAAGGGATTATAACAGACGAACGGACGGTAGCATTCACCTGTAGACATATACAATGTTCCTCTAAAAATCATCCTTCACTTCTTCCAATCCGATTTATACGTTCACAATAGTTTAAAGAAGCGTAACGGATATTCTTTTAATAAAATATTTTGTTTGGTATTGCGTATTATTAATGTAACATGGTTGTCTCTCTCAGACTGCCTCGTTGGCCGAGTGGTCGCATTTTCGACTACTGGGCAAGGGGTCTCGGGTTCGATTCCTGGGTCGGGAAAAGAATTACTGGATTTAAATAAAATCTTACTAGTTACAAGGAGTCTGGAATTCTGACCGCTATATAGCATCAGGCTCACTTCCTATCACATGGGACTCATAATATAAAATAGTGAATAATGAGTGTTACATTAAATGACATATTGTACAACCTAAACCTCCGGGGAAGAAAAGCGTGATGTCATGTTATGTATTTCATGCATTCAATTCCGAGTTATTCAGCAAAATGTACATAATAATTTAGTCTTAATGCAACCTGCATCTAATTTCAATGTATTTCAGTCGACCGCAGCAGTTGGCTACAGTGTAGCCTACTCAGCGTGTTGTGACATGTTGCCGTGCAAGCATATTGCGGTGTGCATCACTCGTAATTATTGCATCGATATCCAAGTCAGCGGTTTCGGAACAAGTTGTTGTAATTAACGTACAAAGGTGAGGTGTAATTTAATTGGACTAATGACAGCTTGGACATACTGCCAATGTTGCCATGTGCGGTTTGATTGCGATTGTTAGGATTGATTTGTAGGTAGTAATGGAAGCTCTGATGATCTGGCAACGTTAATTAAGTTTAATATTGAAGTTTATGATTTATGATTATGATTACTGGGTTTTAAAAAAAATCTCAGTTGTAGCACGGAGTCTGGAAATGTGCCCGGTATATGGCAATAGGCTCACCCCCTATTACATGACATAAATAGTGAAAAGTGGGTGTTACATTGTACAGTGGCATAATGTGCTTCTCTGCCTACCCCTTCGGGGATAAAAGGCGTGATGTTATGTTATGATGTTATGTTATAGAAGTTAGCTTTACCAAAGTATAAAGCAATCAGTCCCGTTCTGTCATTTTTGTCCTTGTTCTTTTACATCTTGTTAATTTGCCAGGTTTACAAGTCTAATAATTTAAAGACAAAACTTCGGTAATATTATCTAAAGTCGTGTAATACCTACAAATAACTACAAATCTTCCGAACAATGTGGCACAATGTACACAAGTTGCCAAGATAAGAGTGTTTCTATTACAAGCAACCCTTCGGTATCTATGAAATAAGTTCGCACCTTCATAAATATCGAATTTGTTGGAACTCAATTTGAAGTTAAGATTTGTATCAGAGTGCTGTATGTGCGGCACAATAGCTGAAAATTGTGTAACCGTAGAGCTCTGTGGCTTCTTTCACTTAGATCTAGAAAGGTTATATTGTGTTGCAGGTAAATGTGAGGGTTGAATGGGAAAGCCTTTGTGTGTTTTCCGTCTTTTCAAATAATATTGTTGGTGCAGCAAAGGGCTCTCGTTTCTGCAGTGTGAAAAGTAATGCAGAGATACTTTGTTTGCATGATTATTTTTGTGTTTTTAATACTCCGTATGGTATATTCTCTTGCTCTATACATAGTTTTTATAGGATAATAAGTATTGCACAGAACATGAATGTGAATTGCGGTTCAAACTGATTATATCACTACATAGTATAAAATAATAAAGTCGCTGTTCGCCGTCTGTCTGTGTATGCTTAGATCTTTAAAACTACGCAACAGATTTTGATGAGATTTTTTTAATAGGTAGAGTGATTCTTAAGGAAGGTTTAGGTATATGTGTAATACATGCATATTGCACCCGTGCGAAGCCGGGGCGGGTCGCTAGTTATTATATATTACTGTTCCAAAAAATGATTAAAACTGCACAATATATTCTGGTCAGTTTTTATCTAACCACAGACTGAACAGCGGTTCGTTTTATCGAAATTTTAAGAAGGGTTAATGCTATAAATTATTTGTGGTTAAGAAAGGCCACTGACACTTCCAGCTGCAACCCATCTTCACAAGCCCATTGCCACTCGGTCCGCCATTAATTGCGATTGGGCCGAAGCAGATTACTGAACCCCAAAAGGCTTCTCGAACTATCGTAAATCACAATTTGTTCGATACAAAAATAGACTCAAACACCTAGTCACTAAGGTAGGTATTCGTGTGTGATGTATAGTGACAATTGAAATGTTAAGGCGGGTCTAGTTGGACGGCAGAAGCAAGGTGAAGCAGACTATTATTTTAGGGTAACATGTACTAATTTGGGGCCATTGTTAAGAAATACGTAGGCGATAGTGAGAGGTCGTAGGATTATATTGTGTGGCCCCTATTTATTAACATTGTTCGGTAAACGTATTATGCCTATCACTACTGTAGCATACATAGCAATAACTTCAGTTAGTTACTCACTAGATGGCGCCAGAGAAGTGTTAAATCCTGTAGATGTTCCAGAAATGGTCTAACAATGTCTGTAAAATTGATTTTTATAACTATCGTGAGATATAGAAAATGACCTAAAAATTTCGGATCACTCACGAAAATACTAAGAAAAGCTCTACTAGTTTCGAGCCACAGAGGGGCTCTTCCTCATGAACAGCGTGCGCTGCGTGTGAGTAGAGCTTGTCTCAGTATTGTCACGTGAGTAACCCGCGACTTTTATGTTAATTTAAAATTGGTTTGTTTAAGTTTTGATCGAGATATCAGTAGCTAGAC